ATGGAGTTACTTTTAGAGGATGTCTTTAAAAGTCACTAATGGGTGTCAGGAGACAAAGGAAAGCTGTGTTAGGCCAGGCAGAAAAAGGGACTTGTTTTCCAGCAGATGTTCTGCAACTCCATAGCTTCGGAAAAAGGAAGTACAGCCAGACTGGGCTCTGTCAATTCTGAATTGCTGCGCAGTTTTGACTCGATTTTTCTGTTGCTGATGTTTTGGGTTTTTTTTAAATCATAATTCAAATTAATCATTAATTATTCTTCCCTCTTAGCCAAGCCATCTGGTTATCTTCACACGGCCTGCTGCAGAAATCAGGGAAGACTCCCACTCTCTAATAATAGATGAAAATGGTGAAGTATCTACCTGTGATTTCAGCATGCTCTGGGTTTAAAAGAGAGGGATGGAAAAGGTCTTTCATCAGGAACTGCGGCAGATTGAATGGTAGAAGCCCAAAGGAGAAGAAATGAATTATTTTGAATTAAATTGGACAGAAGCCACATATCCCATAAACACCCACCAGCATGCGAGGGAAGAAGTCACCACAGAAATGTTGTGCGATGGAGCAGGAATTTCCCCAGCGTTTGCTTGGCCCTGCTCTACAGCTGCTCTTCTCTTGCCCAAGATATGCAACAAAACGGGAACGTGTGTGTTTGTTTATGGGAGCCTCCTGACAGCTGAGCCCGAGCCAAGCAGGAGCCGCAGCTCCTCCGGATACACACGCTGCCAAGTTCATCTCCTCTCTCCTGGTGGGAGAACGTCCCCATCCGACCCCAGCGGGCTGCAGGTATGGACTCTCCGGCCGCCCCCAGCTCACCCTCGGCTGATGAGGGTCTGTTTGCATCTGGGTTTTATGCTCCTGAGTCTCCAGTGTGGCCGGATGAAGGCGTAAGCCTAAAAGTTGTCTTAAAAGAACGAGTTATTTGCTAGTAACGCTATTTATTTTTCCTGCACATTTTTTAAAGCTTTTATTTTTAAGACACGTGGCTCCCAAAAGTAGCAATTGCTTCTTCCTTAAGAAAACATCACTCCGGCGTTGCGATCTTTCGGGACACGTGGCATGGCTTTTTTAACACATGCACAGAGAATGTACCAGTGCAGCCCAAAGGTGGCAAAGGCGGTTTTGATGACAACGATTTTTTCCCTAATGGAATGTTCTCCTTCCCTAGGAACTGAATACATCTTTTATATGGCATAATGAGATGCACAGGTACAACGGGGAGTAAAGGAGGCTTTGTCCTGCCTTTGCCATGCCAGGCAGCGCTTTGTGCCAGCGATGGTGAAAGGACTCCAGTAAAACCTTCTGCCTCCGTCCACCTCCCCCATCCCCTCCCGTCTTTTGCCTCCCAACTGTCTATTTTCCTGCTACGGCGTGTGGAATTGTCCCTCGTATCCTCAGGTTTTCAGCTGACAGAAAATGGTGTTTGCCCCACTGAGTGTAGCAGGGTGCTGCCAGGAACTGGGCTCAGATTCCGTTATTTGTGACCTTATTTACCTATTTATTTATTTATTTAGGCCCTGTCAAAAGCAGCTTAAGTCAAAACTAGGCCTTGTAATTTTACAGCGTGCACTGTTACGTATCCCCTGCCGCGAAGGGCAGCAAGCATTGGCACAGCAATAGGGACAAATATTTTGTCGATGTCCCTTGAGCAAATTCTCATTTCAGCTTAAAAGTGCAAACCCGATGCCGAGAATACTGAGTCAGCAGTGACAGTTCACATCTAGGAAGAACATTGGATATGGTTTCCCGAGTATCTTCCAATACACACAGATACTAAATGTCTTTGTGAAGTTGGGTTTAATAGATAAAGCAGTGCTTTGCTTGCCATAAAAATAATGGTGAGGATGAGAGCTGGCAAGTCTCTCACCAGACATTAATACTGATTTGGTTTGTTCTAATTAAGTACTCATAATAATGAGAAAACAGAACTTTCTCTTTTGCTAAACAAGGAATCACAGAATCATTTAGTTTGGAAAAGAACTTTAAGATCATCAAGTCCAATTCTGAGCCTGCCACTGCCAAGCCCACCACTAAACCATGTCCCTAAACACCACATCTACATGCCCCTTAAATACCTCCAGGGATGGTTTTCCATGGTATCTGCATCACGAGGGATGGAACAAGTGTGTGCTTCACTTAACGTTATTCTGCTGAAATGCTGTTTGCATTTTTACAGCAAACACCAGTCTGTCCTGGTGGATCACAGCTTTTTCTCCCTGCTACAGAAAGCAGGTTCCTCTGTGGGGTTAAATCTCAGAGCAGCTCAGTCAGTCACAGGCTGTAGATGCAACAGCCTCTCTACTATCACTGAGTAAAGACCCTGTGCAGCCCTGCTCCTGCACAGCTACAAGGAACCATCAAAGGTGACAAAGACAGGGTGTTCCTGGCCAAGTCTGCTGCAAACCCGACATGAAAATGTAGCCATAGAAAGCCTGGAGCATAACAAAAGCTACTACTTATTAATCCACCCGGGCCCAGATTCCTATTTACTAGGCACTCCATAAACACAAAACAGCCAATGCAAAGCTCTCTTTGTCTAAAGAAATGACGTCCTCGGTGTGAGACCAGGGACAGCAGATGGGAGAGCGCCGGGAAACAATGAGACAATGCCGGCTGGCGGGCGAGATACGGCCCCAACACTCGGCAGCCGAGCACTGCCAAGGACGTGGTGGCAAAGGGGTGTTGGGCAAGTGAATCAGAAGAGGAGCTGTTACCACTGAACCAGGACTCACGAATAAAATCTTATCCAACCGTGATGCTTTCAAGATTTTCACTTTTTGTCTGAAAGTTGCCCAGTAAAAATGACTTGCTCGCCAGGCAGCAAGACCCCAGTGTCACCTGCACCCATGCTGCAAACTGTTCTGCTGTCAAACTTGACGCAAAAAGCGACACTCAGCCAGTAGTTACCAGTCAGGATTCAAACTGGCACCAGCACCACTGGTTTACCAGCCTAGACGTTTATTGAAGTGAATAGGAAATACTAATGCTGTAAATCAGGAAAAAACTGAGGCTTTTCAGAAAAGAGAAAGGAAGACCGATCCGGACACTAGCGAAGAGCACTAATTTCATTAAAGGATTATCCTTCATAGAGGATTTTCTCTTTTATAAGGTTGAAATACTTCCTATCTTTGCTTAAGCTCTATGGAGAGTACCCGAAAGAGCCCAGGGCTTGAGGTGCCTGCGCTCCGCAGCGAGCAGGAAGGGGGGTCTTCCAGAGCCTGACCCTGGGCACCCGTGTTCAGCTCCACCTCTGGACCCCCTTGGTGAGACTACTGGCTACAGGGGAACAGGAAAGAGATCGAGCCTTTAAATACCACTACACCCCCTCCCCCTCTCCGCTTCCAATTCAGCAAAGTACTTAAGCTCATCATCTTCCCACTTATTTTAATAACGCAGCATTGGCACTGGTTTAAGGACGTTATCTTTCGTTGGCACAACTGCAATGGATAATCAGTCATGACAAGAAAATGCCTAAAGCATTTCTTAGGCTTTAGGTTTGGGCTTCCAACCAAAAGTCTGGGGGTTGGTTAAAAAACATGGATATGATATTTTGTATAACTAATTTCTTTAATGGCATAAAACTGTAAAACTTTTCTCGTACATAAGAGAGAGACGGTGCTCTCTGTGTTTTGACAAAGTATTCTGAACATGCTGATATCACAAAATAAGAGTTGTTTTCTAAATTGCTGTTATAAAAAGCCTAAATTAGGACAGGCATTTGGACCCTTCTAATGGGAATAAATCAGAAAAGGATCTGCATAAACAGAATCTGTTTCAGAAGTCTAAATGCCCCAAGATTTTCCCATCAGAACTTTGGATATATGTTCATGTTTAAATAACATGGTCAAGGGATGCTGCAGATGCTGTTACAGCTGGAAAAAAAAACACGTTACTGGTCCTACGAAAAAAAAACTCCCTTACTTTCTACTGTCAAGAACTCCCAATGCCATCTTCTAAGGTCCTTCTCAGGACATGACAATCCTGAAAATGTAACAAGCACTCCATCCCCTCAAGTGTCAAAGCTGTATCTTCGTGCATCCCGGTGATGAGAACTTCCTTCCGTAGATAAAGGCAACAGAAAAAGGCCACTGTTCCTGTTTTCAGTGTTCATCTCCTTGCACAAAAGAACATCACTCAACTCCAATGCTGTATTTCAGCATGGCTCACCCAGCTTTGTCTGTCTGACTTCATATGCTAATGAGAACTCTAAAAAAATCCTCTTTTCTCATCATATGCTTTCTGACAGCAAGACAGAATGAGCGTTCTGTGCCCAGAACACAGCTACCAAAAGGAAAAGGTGGCTGTATCTCGTCAGAAGAGGCCTAACTTCTTCAGTCTCTAAGCTCACAAGAGATCCTGACACCACTGTTTCTTATTCTGAACTTAATTTGGTATTTGGGGGGAACGGGCTCGTTCACCCTCGTATGCAGACTTCCCAGCCCGTGAGTGGGAGGCACCTGACAGAGCTGAAGAGACACAGAGGTGCACAGGTTGCACCAGTACAGTCGTCTGAGAAGAACAATGTGTAAAAAACATGAACACTAACTTTCTACCTGGTTTGAAACAGGCTCTGAATCTTATTGCTCATTTCCCTTACAAATTCAAAAATCTGAGAAGAATTTCCTATCACATCAATGTGAGTATCGTAAGGAATGATCAAAACGTAAGGGTAATGGGGTTTTAGACTTTCACACACCCACTTATATCTCCGCTTTTCATCTCTGGTGTGCTTCTCAAAGCAGATCCTTTCTTTACGTAAAGCATTATGGAGCTTTCTAGACTCATTTTCAATTTTCTTTTTGACTCTTAATACCTGTCCAGCATCAGACCTACTTCCAGCATTCTCAATACACACTGTGGTTATATCACCATCAGTGGTGTCAGAAATTACAACATCATGTACTAGGAATGTCCTGGAAAAAAAGCACTTCATGTAACAATACACATCCGTGTCAAGAACAACCACTTGTTTTTCCCTATCTGCATCATGAATGAAATTACTCGTCTCCTGGGTCAGTCTGTGTTGCTGTAGCCTCCTCCTTGGTCTCTGGTGAGATTTACTTTCTTCTCTTTTGTTCTCCTCTGGAAGGGATTTTGCTTTTAGTAAGAGAAAGTCTCTTAGCAACTTGATCGCTGGAAACGACCCCTGAACAGAAATATGCCCGTTGGATTGCAAAGGACCGAAGCTCAAAGCGGTGCTCTTCTTTTTAAATTCTTCTAACAGATCTTCTAAAACAAACTGATCTTTGAAAACAGACATGTTGAGGACAGATGTGACAGAGCTGAAGACCTAGAATTTTGAATCAGAGAAGTTAAGTAACAGTTAACACAGCAATGGAAGCACAAGGAGGTAAATTATGAATGAGCTTACATTTTCACAGTAACGGGTTACTTCCAGTAGGTAGTGTCTGGGCAATCTCACGTCTTTTAGTTGATGCTCGTCCTTCTTTAGAACACTCTCTGCAACTAAGAGAAAGCAGATTCACTTGGTCAGCAAGATAACACCTGATTGCCAGTCTGACGGTGGAATGCTTCCGAGGGGGGTTTCTCTTGATGCCTTCCCTAACAACTTCCCACACATACACGCAGGCAATTCAATACTCTTGCCTAATATTTTACGCATTAGTCAAAATTGTTCTGAGAGAGACAGAAGCCTGCCTTCTTAGAACACCAACTGGCAGAGGTTTATTCTCATGACAAAACCCTTATCTGTTATTTACAGTATAAATCTGTTCCTAAAAAGAAACACAACACGTGCTTTGCACTTTGTTCAGTCATGATTTCACTGAATAGCAATAAAATCCTCAAACTTTGACTGACTAAAAGAGAGGTGCTAGTCTCCCAGTTCTATAGAATTCTAGTACCAGTAAACAATTTTGAATCGTTCCGTTTGGGGTTAACATTGTAGGGCTAATTCCTTGGGGGATGCCTGTATTTACTATAGTATATTAGTCTGAATACCTTCTTGATCTTCAAAGGTTACATAGGCGACTCCTTTTCTCGTGGTTGGATATATTACTTCTTCCACATCTCCACCGTTGTTCTTCAACTTTTGGAAATGAATCACCAGTATGTCACTCATAACATCATTGTGCAGAAGGCCATCTGGAACACCAGCGATGACAACTGTCCTTGCTGATTTAGCAGCTTGTCCTGTTGCCTGCGCAGAGAGACATGGCACGCTGTAAACGCAGGGGGTACCCGTGACCTCCGGCTGAGGTTACCCGGATTCAGCCTGATCCGAGTGACTCCCCTTCCTTTTGCACAGACAACATGCGTATTTAGTAGCTAATTAAGAAGGCTGCTGAATCAGAGCTCAGTGAATACCAGGTTCCCTCAGGCACCTTTACATTACTGTGCAGTAAAAAAGGGCTGACTCTTAAGCCTAATTTACACCCTCTCGGTATTTTCTTTTCTTAGAGCAGTAAAAATTAGAACTAAATTTCTCAAAATGGTCCAGTGTCACAGTGATGAGGTTGTTTCCTCCAATTCAGAATTTCAAGAGAACGAAAAATTTTAATTGCATGCACTGTTCAATAAGGATTATTTTTTGTCAGAGTGGAAGGGTCAGATTCAGACTGACCTTACTTGTTCAATTCACGAGAGCTGGGATCTAGGGCTGTGCTCTGATTCATCTCTCCACTTATTAAATGGTAAAATTGGAAGAACATAATCCCAGTCATCTGAGACTCGCAGTGCGTAAAACAACTAACTACACACATGATTTTCATCAGAGGCCAACCTCCCAATGCTGCAAACATGAAACCCATCCTAAATAGGATTTGCATCCATGTCTTGTTAAGAAAAGCGTATTTTCTTTCCATTCTTGTTACACAGACATAAACAGTAATATTTCACTGGGAATATCACAGCAAAATGACTGTAAATGGTGAAACACTGAGTAAATTTTACAGCAGTTCATTGACTTTTCAGAACAAAGAAAATAGTATGTCTGCACGGCAGCGTTCACAGACAGCCAGTAACTTCAGAGCGACTGTGATCGAGGTCAGTCATTCCACCTAAATTCTTGAGACTTCTCTTACAAAGTTTCCTCTGGACCTGGGCTGCATAAAACATTAGGGCCAGCACGGCAGTTATAAAGCCTGCAGAATGTGCCGCCGGGGGCGAATGCTTCGTTGACGTGCATCCAAAGCTCTGCGGACCACCACCGTGGTGTTCCTGAAGGGAGTGAGGAGACAGATTCAATGAGACTGTGCAACCATGCAAGCTTCTAATTCATGGAGACATGAGGCCTTTTTTTATCACCCATCAAATTTAAAGAGGCAGGAGCTTTAATTATATTAGGCAATTATTTTGGTGATAATGTTCGTGCGAAAGCAAGTTTCTGCACTAATGAGACAACATGAAGAGAATATAAACAGGGTGCTTCCAAGATTGACAGAGTTTTATGTAGGGTTTTCTCACGCTTCACACCACCAATGCAGCCTGTGCACGAGCGGGAGCACTCAGCTGCCAGACAGCATCTCACACCTTGCCAGCTGGTATTTTGGAGCAACACTCATGCCTACCATTGGGGTTAGGAAAAAAAACCCCAACAACCCAGAACTCACGAACATACAGTTCGTTTGTGCTGAAGTCTGCAAGTCTGCGTTCAGCGGCTGCTGGCAGACAGAAACGCAGAGCTGCAGAAGGTGCCGCAGTGATGTGGGCGGGCGGGTAAGGGAGAGGAGCGCTGCGATGCCGATCACTGGTGACCAAAGGGTCCTGCGCACAGCCAGGCCGTGTGTTTGCTATTTCTTGGCAAATCTGCCACACGGATCAACGCTGACAAGAGATCAGATATGAAACCCAGAGACTTCATCGCTCCTCGCTGTTATTAAAAAACCTGAAATATTATAGAATCATAGAATCACGGTTTGGGTTGGAAGGGACCTTAAAGATCAACTAGTTCCAAACCCTCTGCCATGGGCACCTTCCACTATCCCAGGTTGCTCCAAGCCTCATCCAGCCTGGCCTTGGACACTCCCAGGGATGGGGCATCCACAGCTTCTCTGCACAACCTGTTCCAGTGCCTCACCACCCTCTCCATGAAGAACATCTTCCTGATATCCAATCTAAACCTCCCCACTTTCAATTTAAACCCGTTACCCCTTGTCCTGTCACTACAGGCCCTTGTAAAAAGTCCCCTCCC